CGTGATAGACTTCTCTGAAAAATGAACTTGTTGCAGTATGTTGCAGTATGTTGCAGTTGTAGGTTGGTCCTTCCGACTGGAACCCCCCGCGGTCATGTAGGTGGCAGGCGATTGAGGTGTTCCTTGTTTCACCACACGCGGCCAAGTGACGAGGTGTTGGCAGGAAGGGTGTGGGTTGGTCGGAGGAGCCCTCACTGATGAACTGAAGCCAGGAGCTTTCACCCCTGATCCTTAGCAATTGTCGAACATGGTCGAGCGTTGTCAGAACTCGAAAGCGGCCCAAACTGCAAGCACAAACAAACATGTCCGAGGTGAAATTCCAGCACCTGATGTGAATCCCGCAAACAACTCTAAGCACTGTCGGAGGTAAAAATTCCAGAGCCACCCGAAAGGCTCGACTGCAGCGCGACGGCAGTGACTGCACTTTGAGCTGACACGGAGGGGTTTTGATTTAACTGCGCCGCTGCTTCCGCAAGCTTATGCCACTGGAGATTTTTCGGGTGTTTGCTTACGTGCCGCAATATGACATAGACGTCCTAATGTCGGGCTCTCGCCGAAGCTTGCGCAGCCCTTGCACGACCGACGTTGTTGCTTATGCGGAGGATCGCGCAAGAGGGTTTATCGAATGGCTCATATGGTCTCATTGAGACGCTCCAAGTTGAACCAAACTATTACACTCCCTGGAACTAACATGGACGTGGGAATGGCCCCGAAAGGAAGACCATGTTCCACTACAAACAGGTGGTTGTCCACTTCCATGTTAGTTCCAGGGAGAGTAAGTTGGTGAGCTTTGACCTGTGTGGGTGAACTGGCTTGACTCGACCATGTTGAACCCCTCTCATCTCTAATCTCGGTGTTCGACTCCACACCACTTGGATGGTCTACTGGGGTGCTGGAGTGTTTGTCACATCTGACATCCTCCTTGGAGTGGGGATATAGGTGATTCTCTTCACCTCTGATCCTGGGAGTTGAAGAAAGTCACAACATCTTGCATCTGGCCTCAGCTCAGTGGACTTTCGTTTGCCGCAATTATGAAGAAATGTATTGGTGGCCATCCTGGTCCTCATCCCCGTTGTCCAATCACTCCCCCTGTTGTCAAAACTGGAACCATAACTTTCCTGAATATGTCCCCAGAGCGCTCTCCAAGCCCCTGCCGGAAAATGTTCACAGACCTAGCTAGAACATGCTGGAACCCTTCAACCCTTGGTTTTGATAGGATAAACTCCAGCGTGGGCCGCTCAAGGTGTAGGCACCATAGGGATACAGTGTACTCTCTGATTCAACATAATGATTGACCCGCTCACATGATTACTTACCCATGCTCATAAATCCAGCTGGTGGACATATCCAGGAAGTTTTAATTAAACCATGGTCTCCTTGTGTATCTTTTCCCTCTCAGCGCGGGATGTTCGGTCTAGATTGGGTTTCAACCTGGTGGGGCCCTGACTGCAGCAGATCTCTCATCAACTATAGAAAGAGCACAACCCGGTGCGAAAGATTGGATCCATGATCCAGGACCAAAAGTTAAAACTACACGGCGCATTTTTTTGGGGGGGGACGCCAAGAGATCGTTCCTTGCATTTACTTGCAACTCCAGGGCACCGCTCCAGTTCCCGGCACCACTGGCTCCCTGCGCTCGAGTGTTGACGCCACTCCTCGAGGGGCGGCGTGCAAAGCCGCAAGACGCCTCCGCCGCGCAGGGCGCCGCACACCGCGCCAAAGGTGTCGAGGAAGTTGAGCCTCAAACGCTGCGTCCAGTGACGTCCGACGTGCATCCAGTTCGGGGTAGGTTAGATAGATGGCTGGGTGCTCTTGCGCGCCGGTTCGGCAGATGGGCCGGATGTTCTGAAAAAAAGCGGATCACAGGTATATAAGCAGTTTAAACACCTATGTTTCAAGTCGACATGTGAGTCTTCCCTGGGAGTCTGACTTGAAGCCGATTGCAGAGTCTCTGGTGGATGACAAGCACCTTTTCCCAAGGCTATTGGACGCCAGGGGCCCTCATTTTACTGGAGATGGTCATACAAAACCAATTCTATATGGACCATTATGGAGGTAAAAGACCAGGTCTTACTGGGTCAGACTGGACTTGTACGGATAGATTGTACACATCCAAATCATTGATTGGGACAGGAGCCATGTCCATCACACTCACTACCTGTCTCTACAGAGGACGCACAATCATTTTGCAGAGTCAACGACCACATGACCTGCAAAAACGAGTCAACCTCTGCAGCGACCTGAATCCAATGCTTTTGTTGGATTCACTCACATCTGCAGGGTGCGGCCAACTGCAAGATAGAGGGAAAAGCATGGCGCAAATCGCGAACTCCATCGGTGGACCACATTGGAAGACTTCCTTTCGACTCACCGCGCGTCCAACCGGTTCACCCGATCTCCCCCGATGGCTTCGGACACGTGTCCGTTCCGCCGTGCGTCGGTGCGGTCGACGGGTGTCCGCGGCCACGGGTTCCGCTCCACGTTCGCCACTGGACACATGATGAGTCTGATCCCTATGCTCCATGGCGCCAATCTAGGCCACTATCTTCTATAGCCATATTGGCGCCATATGGCCGCGTCGGGGGATGTCGGGGGCGATCCTCCTGTACCTTGACGATGCTTCGCTTCATGTCAGCGTTCTTCTGGCGAAGGGATGAAAAGCGAAGTCATAGCGAAGTCAACAAATGTCCATCAGGCAAGACCACTTGAAGACTTTGGACACGGCCATCTTGAAAAACACATTAACACGATTAACACATCTGATGGCAGGTGGAATGAATGTCATGTTGTTAGAATCATTGGCCCAACATAGAATCAAACAGATGTTGAGGGGTTGCTAGATGGAAACCTCTGTTTCATTTTCACACCGAAGAATTCGGCTCTCAAAATGCTTTTCAGCCAGGGCGGCTCTCTACGAGGCTCGCTCACCATGCCACTGGCTGCTGGCAGGAAATGATGTGCCAAGAGCTGCAACACTTCATGTCTAGTCAAAATCACAGCATGTCAGCATCGGCGCATCATCTTTGAAAGAAACACACGCTGGTGCAGGTTTGGCAAATGTAGCGAATGGCAACTTACGTACGAGTAAGTACTGCAGCCGAGACATGAGAGATGGAACGTTGCATTGCCCAGAACTGGTCCATAATCACTTCCTCCGCATGCAACAACGCTTCCATCACTTCTGCTGCAACCATTGTCAACAGTTCGACAACAACTTGGCAATAATTGCTAGCGTGGGGAAGGTATTGAGAGGTGTTCTTGTCGGAGTCACCCAAAGTTTAGCTCTCAGCTAGACTACAGCCATGGAATTTCTTGCACTGACAAATGCCCCCTGCGCCTTGGTAAACATTACATAATTAGAGTCCATTTTGGCCCCCTTGGGGGGGGTAACAGCTCTATTCAAATCCACACATCCCATATTCAGCTCTAAGGTGCTGCTCTGCGTGGAGCAGGGCCATATCAAGGTCCTCACACCGACGACAGCACCCGGTGCTTCACACCGATCGACTTACCAATCGCGCCATCGCCAAGAAGGTGCCGAAGTCTTAGGGGAAAACATGGAAAAACGATCTCGGCGTGCTCTGTTTAATTAACAAATCACAATCCTTTCGTTGCTTGGTCTTCTCGTGGTTGGAAAGGCCAAGACCTCGAAATTGATACACGTATACACTATCAGCGGTCGATTCCGACTGTCTGCTTTGTTCTTCGCTTACGCACGAAGCAGGAAGTGGCAATCGTTGTGGAGACAGCACAACACTAGACGGGACACGTCACATCGCCCCTCACATCCGTTTTCAGACGTTTTGGACACCCTACTCTCACTTCGTCACTTCGGAAGGTCTTTGCCACCCACCGTCACTTCTCTCACCCCAAGTGACACCCGCAACGCCGGGCATGCAACGCTGGAAGTTCCGTTCTCCTGCCCCATCCACTGCGCACTGGGCGGTGGCCGATCTGCATGCCAATCCGCCTGCACCGTGCGCATTGATGAGGCCACGTCCGCCGGAGGCTGCGGACGTAGGTGGTTGAGGTCATGAACGGTGGCTTCCAAGAAGGGCTGGCGGCCGCTGATCACCTAGGAGGAGGCCCTCTGTGACTGCCCAGTGAGGTACATGTGGGGGGAAGTGAGGTGGAGGAAGTGCAAGGTGAGGACCACAGTAGGCCACGGGGTACTTGCCAAGCTCTGATGAAGATTTCACCATGGCCGTTCTCAATACGCCTTGATGCATGAAATCCATAACATTGCGACCATTCACTTCCTTATGTGACCCAAGCAAGAGGGGCTAGGGGCCCGCGAAGCAAAGAGCGTCGTGGCACGGGGCCTCTAGCAAGCAAAAAGTGGCACCTGATGGCAGCTGGCTCTACATTCAAAATCCTTCTACAGTAAACGATCCCTCCTCCATGCAACTGTTGACGTTTGGTGTAGCTCGCTGGAAAATTTGGCCCACACCAACCAAGACCCACCGTCTTCCCCATAGAAAAGGCAAAATAGATGGACCCCAAATACATCGCTCCAAAAAAAAACCGTAAATCAACTGGAGAACCTGCAATCATCTTGACCAATCGATCGATTTGGGTGAGTCACTCTTCTCTCAACTGACCTGCATACTGGTCAGATCGACCATACTACTGGTCTCGAATCGGCCATCCGGTGCTGCCAGAGTCACTGTCAACCTGCGAGGTGGCAATGATCTCTTTGTGTGTCCGTTGCAACAACGTCTGGGCACTCTGCCAAAAGTTCGACGGTGCCGAGCATGGCATTGTCGCCAAGCATCAACACTTACTGTGGCCACCTTACTTGGCAAGTTGATTGGCAAAGAACTGGTCTTGACATAGTAAAACGTTGTCAAAACACGCTCTCCCTCTGTGGAGGTAACTCGCTTCTGTGTGTCATAGAACTGACTGAAGACTCTATTACGACAGAACACTGACATGGCCACTGAAACCACTCCCTAAAAAAGAACTCCAAATTCTCAACTCCCAAATCCTGCAACAAAGGACCGTCTACAAAACAACTAAACAACGCTCCACGAAGCGCAGAAATAAATAAATAACAACAACACCCAGCCCAGTCAGTGGAGCTCCCCCATTCTCATCCCATTCTCCCGCTGCCGACTTCCATTCTCATCCCAGACACCGCCCACTGAAGGCGCCACTTCGACCCGACCCGCCCCGCGCCACCCGCGCCACGTGGCGCGGCCGGCGCGCACGGCGCGGCGCGGTGCGCGGCGGCTGGGTGCATGGGAGCAGGGCTGGGAGCCGTGAGGACGTCGAAACGGTTGACATGAATGGACACATTAGAACATCATAGAAGCATCTGCAGAAGAATCGAAAATGGAACTTGAATAGAATAGGGAATAAACATGAATGAAACATGAATAGAACAGACTATTTATATATGGATCAGAATAGCGTAGAGTCGGTGGTGACCTGTGGATCTCTTTGTAGGTGCTCACCACGTTTGCTCACCATGCTTTGGGGGGCCCCCCCCCTTCACTTCCATTTCTTGGGGGTTGCAACATTTGGCACAAAACTCTGCACATTTCATCCACAGCTTGCACTAAACAGAACGGCACAACCATGGAAGTCCCCACGCACTTTCTTTAGGAGTTGCGAGGTCGTGAAAAAAATGAAAAAGTTGCATCACCGGCGTCTCACCCGGAGAAGACGATATCTTGGAACAATCTAGCTGATCATTCATCAGTGGCTCACCAAGAACACGTGACCCCTCCTTTTTGCCGCGACCGTTGGAGCCACTCACATTATTGGTGAAACAGCAGGGTGAATCGCTAACGCTCAGATTTGCCACGCCGGTCAGACCTAGCGGCAAACTGAAAGACTGGAATTGGTCGGCCAAGGGATGCAGCGGTCAGCCAATGTGTGTAGAGTAAGCTTATGTGGCAAAATCACTTCCCGCCCCAAAATCATTGAACCCACATGTGTTCCACATGTTCCGGTCACAAAGATGGAAAAAAACACCAAGTCCCGGGCACAGCTTGTCATTGAAACTTGAGACGTTCGGCCGGTACTCCGTACGGGCCTCCTGTCAACCCGATTCCATCGCACGTACGGCGGTCGGATCACGGGGCGAACCTCACCGCGGCGAGCCGTAAGGGATCAGCGTGCATCAGGGAGGAGCAGCTAGGATCAGCTTGCCTAAAGTCACCCAAGGTCTTCTACGATCGATCAATAACGAAACAAAGAATCATGAGTCCTATCTCCAGGAAAATATTCTGACTCTTTTTTTTTCGCTGTCATACAACATGCCATATGAATAAAAATGTTCATTTTAGTAAAAACATTGCTTTTGGGTGGTCAAAATGAATTGAACTCAAAAAGGACCCACCTGTGTGTGTGTGTGCCTTCATCTCGCAGGGTATAGACGGAGCTCCGTCTTTCGGGTTTGACCAGATCCACGGTTCGGAGGCAAAAGGGAATCATCAACCTCCGGTGGGGAGGATGTGGATTCCTTTCAAAAGTATTGAGACAGACTTGAAAAAAAACATGAATTTATATATTACTATATTATTATGTTTAAAACATGTTAGATGACAACCTGATACTAGTGTTTTTCATTGCCACGTCACTGCATGCAATGGCACATCCTAGGAAGTCCCACTAGACCCGTTTTTTGAGACAACCGGACGAACAAACACGACCAACACGTTTGCAAATATACAACGAGTGCTTGGAACAAGCTGGATTCTTTTTCGCTCAAATGCGCGGGCAAATCTGGTGGCATTCGATCTATGAAATTTGTGTATAAGTGCAACATCTAATGACGTTGGCTCAAAATGTCCTTCCCAACTCGGATCGTCGATCTGGATCTCCAATCCATCAGATCGCAACTTCGAAAGCAAACAACTAAACATGTTTTGCTGCCGTCGTAGTCATCATGTGTAACGTCGCCCTTTGTATGCCCTTCTTTACCTCTTTATCGGCTCTGTTCGGCCGTGAAGAGCTTGGATCCGAGTCAAAGGAAGAGTCGAAAACTTCAACCCCTGTGTTCCACGGTAGACGAGGCCACCGCGTCCACACTGTCAGGGTTGGGCCAAAGTGTTCTTTTGTGAACGTGACTTTTATTACTGGTGGGTTGATTTTCTTTGGCTATAAGTACTACTATACATCTATCATATAGTCATATAACCTAAGTTGTATATGCTTGTGGTAGGTGATTGGACAAACATATGGGGTGTTGGATTCCATCTCACCCTGATTCCACTTACATTAGAAACATAGTTCCGAGTACCTATAGTACAAAAGGACACCAATTAAAAACTCATGTCGGAACCCCCTTAGTACGGCTTATATTTGCTTTTAAGTTACCACCCTTTAAAGCCGCTACTAAACTACCAACATGGCCGATTTTGGTGTAGTTTTTTTCATTAGGTTCCAAAAACAACCGTAACTGCCCACCTCTGTCCACCCTGTCTATCCACCATGACACGCCGCGTTTACACCAACAGGTTTTCCTTCACCCAATGGCACGGACTCACGCGAATGCACTTGCCACCAAGGTCACGCAAAACCGCATGGCACAGCGACATCACCTTTCGAAAGCTTTAGTTGTTAGCCTAATGAATACTCACTGACTCACTGTTCTAAAAAAACAGCGTAGGGGAAAAGATAACCTTCGATCTGAGGGTTTTTTGCTTTTTTATACGAGTTTAATTACGGATTTTATAAAAAAAAAATCCTGGGTGACTTTTTGGTTTTGAAGCTCTTCCCAGGTGACCCTATTTTGGACAACCCCGATTTCAGGGACCCCCAATTAAAAAAATGCACCCGAGGTTTTCTTAATAGGGGGTGGGGGGGGGCCGTGTTTCTTAATAGGTGGACGGGATTACTTAGCTTCCAATTCAAATCCTTTTCTAAAAATGAAACAAATTGTAAAAAAACATTGCTAACTTCCACACCGCACCCAAGCGGTCCCTCACAAAACACTCGAAATATCTACATAAATCTTTTCATTTTTTGCTTGACTCATGGTGCAACTCATCTGCCTCTTTTTTCACGCCCCGGTTCCAGGCCCCACTTTCGGGCCCAACCCTGGGCGCATCTAAGCACCGATCTTCTGGCGCTTCTGCCAGACGCTGTCGGTGTCGATGAGCTTGGCCTTCGCCAAAGCCTTCGCTTCGACAGAGGACACCTCCAGGTAGCCCTGCGAGCTGGCGGGGTTCCTCGGATGCGGGGGCGAGTGATGGAACGCCCAAGGGGGGCACTGGGTGATGGTGCAGGGCACAAAGGGGGTTGATCCTGAAACAGTGTGCCAGGTGCCATTCTCTCATGTTTGCAAACGTCTCACAAAAGCTCCACACGATAATCATGAGATTCCAGAACTATAGAACCCCGCATACATGAGTCCACATTCATGAATCCAAATGAACCCCTACAAAGATCCTACGGTCATTGTTCAGTTCTCTCATCTGCTTGGAACCCAATCTGACGCGCCGGCTGACCTGCCCCGATGTCTGAACGGAACCGCTGATCGTGCTGGACGGTTCGTTTTTCTAATTCCTAGTGCCGAGGGTCAATCCGGTAGAGGCTTCCATGGAGGAATCCTCTTCGAAGTAAATGCTGTGGGGGCACTGGGTGAGCGCCAAGAAGAACCTCTTCTGCCGAGTGGCCGAGTTCTCACCAACATTTGGAGATGAAACCATATACCACAGTCCATGACTTGGAGAATAGGCTTGAATCCATGGCACCATCCAGTCAAATCGCATGGATCTGACTCACACAAACAAAACCAACCTACAAGTGCACATTGGCAATGACCCAAACAAGGGATTAAGGGATTGTTATAGAGGTCTTGCTGGGTGTTTTTGTGGATCAGGATCATGGTTTTGCCAAGGCATACCGACATAGAAATTGAAATATCCACTGGGTGTTGAGGTTCTCCCTTTACCACTCTTAGTGCTACAGCACGTCTTGGCATCAAACCAGAACACATAGTAGCAAGGACGCTACGAACATCGCTCCTGACACTACTACGAAGAACAAGAAGCTACTAGTAACAAGGGGCATCGCTCCGAACGGCGCAATCGGACGCTACTGTTTGGCCACAGGCTGGAGTCATCACACCAACCAGGGTTGAGCCAGGGCTGTTTCTTTTGCGCTCTTGGTCGGGGAGTCACTCGGGGATAGCCGGCCCGTGTCGATGTTGAAATGTAAATAATTAATATACGTATATATACCTGCATCTTCATTGGGCAAAAAAATGTTGTGCTCTTGATTTTGGAGGAGATTTCCGTGTACTCTACAGAAATCTGTGCACTTGAACACAGGATTGTGCATGTCTGTGAGCATGGTCCTGTCTTGAAACACACAAGAAGGCCCTGCTTGTCATTTGCGCCGGAGCCTGCGCTTCCAGCTCAACTTCCGAATCTCCATGAATCTCCCATTTCATTTTGATACTTTACGGATCCGGTCTAGCACTCTGTGGCTTGCAGTTCTTGAGCTCACTCTCTGACATATCCTGCTAACATGTCCCACCACAGACTCATGAGCTTCGTGACTGTGGGGTAGTGGACAGGGAAAGATGTGTGTTGGGTGGGAAAGATGTGTATAGGATGGGAAAAACCGTGTATTGGACGGGTAAAGACGTGTATTTGATGGGAATTTCCGGGTAGAGCAAGTGTCACGCGGGACTTTTCTTCAACAAAATGGAGCCCTGCTGGTTTGACAAGCTCCAAATCTCTTGAGGGAGCAGCGGACGCCATTCCTTTGGGATGGGCACACCCTTCGACCCACAAAGGTATCTCAATACTTCTGACAAAGCTGCATGTTCTCATTTGTCACCGAATGACAGGCTTCGGAAGTGGAAAAATGCTACCGAATACAGCCCAAAGGGCTACAATCAGAAAACGTGCATTTCAAATGACTTTTATGTTTTTTCCTGAAAGACGTGTAGTGCACAGGAATTTCTGAATGGACAATTATGTTTGATCATTTGAGGTTGCAGGTAAATATGTTTTAAACCAAAGAAACATGTTGCAGGCCAACCACAAAACACCTAAAGGTGGCACTCTAACTACTTGGTGGTCGGTTTTTACTTGTGGAACGTGCAAGTTACTTGCTTATATCACTGGTGAGACTTAATAAATTTACAAGTAGCACTTAGAGAACTTACGTTTTACTTAGGTTTAAACTATCAACTTAATTTTCGTAAACAACTTGTAACTAAACCCTGTAAGTTCACGAACTAACAATTGAACGCACGGTTCAGA